ATTATCATCATCATCATCATCACGCCCTCTTTTTCCAGGGTCTTCTGCATGACCCAAGACTCTTGGGTCTTTAACGTGATAAAACTAATTTAAAAAAAGTATCCCGCGTGCTGTTTTGTTTAGTATTTATTATATTGTCTGTTTTTGTTCTCTGCTCCTTCAGTCCAGCTTCACTCGCCCATCCACCACCAGCGCCACTCTCCGGTCTCCCAGCGCCACTCGCCCATCTCACAGCGCCACTCCCCCGTGCCGCCGCCTCCGCATCACTCCCCGATCCAGCAGCGACGCTCTCCGGTCCTGCAGCGCCTCTCCCCCGACACGCACCGGCGCTCGCCCCTGCTGGACGTCGGCGACGGCCCCGCCTCTTACTCGTACCGGCCGCCCTCGCAGCACCTGAGGGCCAGCTTCCAGGGCCGCCGCAGCTACTCCGAGGTGGCGGACCCGTCGGCATACCAGTGCCCGCCTCGCTTCTCTTTAGACCCGGTCTCTACACTGCCGAAGCCCCGGCCGTATGTCGAAGGCTACCCGAAGCAGCAGCCCCAGCACTCCCCTCATGGCGGCCTGCAGCACCGAGGGTCGCCGTCTCCTCTGAAGGGCGGGGCGGGAGGAGACAGCAGCCTGGGGGAGAGCAACCTGCGCCACTCCAGAGAGATGCCTTTCCCCCTGTCGGAGGTGGCGCACCTTCATTTCGAGCCGGCTCCCCCATCCACGCCCGCCCCCCAGCCGCCGCAGTCCTCTGAGGACGAGGAGGAGTGGACCTGCCCTCACCCCATCAGCCCGCCGAGGACGCTGGGCGTGCTCTCCCCGGGAGCCGGCGGAGTCATGAGGGGCCCTGCGTCCTGCTCGGCCTTCCCCATCCCTCAGAGGCCCAATAACCTGACCTGCCACCCTCAGCAGGGCTACCCATCAACAGAGCACGCTCAGTCCTGGCCTTCCATCAACGTGAGTTACTTTCAAAGCTGCATGTCTGACTTCTGCCTCTGAGCTGGTTTACCAGCAATCAGTCCTTCTGAACTCTCTGTCTGAATGTCACAATCACCATGAGGTCTGCGAAGTTGTTCCTGTCAAAGAATAACTCGACATGTTGAGAAACACTCGTTTAATCTTTCCTGCGAAAGAAGAGAAGTCAAATCTCTGACTGGGCATGACTTAAAGAGATGGAGTCGAGATGTGAAGCCTAAACTAAAAAAAAAAAAAAAAGAAACAGAAATGCAAATAAACTTCTCAATTTGGGGCCTTCTCTGATCCAGGAAACTGTTATTTTATAGTTCTTTTTAAGTCTTTTTAAGTCTTTTTAAGTCTTTTGA